AACATCAAAAATGTGCAGAAATAAATAATAGTTGTATTAACCATACATGTAAAATGAGTTTTATGGGGCCCCCAGGAACTTGGGGCCCTGGGCACCTGCCTATTATGGCTGAAAGGTAAATCCGCCCGTGCATAAACACATACTCAAAACATCCACGATGAAATAAATGTTCATTTTTGATTTTGATGCTGTATCCGACATTCTGTAATAAAAAAAGTTTCTGCAATTGAGAACTAGCTGCTCTTCATGTCTTCCTCGTCTCTGCTGGTTGCAGTTGCTAAAGGAGAAGTTTCCGTCTCGGTTTCCTGACAGGTCAGTGAAGTTAGTCCCAGTCCGAGTTCTGTTCCAACATCTCCTATAAAATGGTGATCTCCGTCTCCTGGTTCCGGTAAGCCTCCTCCTGCATCTCTACGGACATCTGCTCCATTCTCTGGAAGGCCTCGTATCCTTTCTTACCTGGACGGAAACAACAAGAAAGTGAAACCATGGCAACCGGAGAGGCTGCCAGGATGAAGAGACGCTCGGGTTCGCACCAAACGACAAGATGGTTTCCTTGGCTGTGCTGCGTAGATCTTCATCCGGGGACCTCCACAGCTCAGCGATGTGGTCCACGCTCTCGGTGGCCTGGCGAACAGAGAGAGGCGGTGAGTGAGTGGAGCTGCCCGGGACTGGGAACGTCGGCCGGACCGGTTCTGCTCACCCTGAGGCATTTCAGAGCCAGGCAGGATCCCTGCTGGATCAGAACATCCGAGCTCTTCAGGCTCTCCGTGTAGAAAACCAGCGCCTGGAGCAAAGAGCCAAAACACACCATCAGAGCAGCGCTCTCTGAAACCAGCAGCGCGACTCAACTGGGATCAGTGGGAAGCTGATGGCAGACATGATAATACAGAGTCGGATAACTGGCAAGAAAAACGTGAATTTATAAATGAAAGTTAAAATTGTAAACAAACATACGATTTAAGTTTGTTCCTCGTAACCTCAGATAGATTAGAGATCAGATTTTAATCTGTAACGCTACGTTCAGACCGCTAGCAGCAGAAATAGCTAATTTACATGCAAAGTCAATGGTTGAAGTGCATCAAGGTGCAGCTAAACGTCCCGCAGCGCGTTTTGAGCAGCAGGAGCAGCACCTCATGAGCTTCTGAGCATCTGAGGCGCAGGACGAGCTGCTGGACTTGGAAACATTGAACTTTAGCTGCTGGACGCGCCGCATCAACCAATGAGAGAAGCTGATCTGGGAGCTGGCAGGGAGTCAGACGCAGCACTGCTGATGCAGAGCGCTATGATCACTCCTCTGAAACAGTTTATTAACGCCTAAATTAACTTCAAATGTAGAAACCTGCCAGCAGAATATGTTGGCTTTTATTATCCTGCTGACTGCAGTTTGTAGCTCAGACCTGAAAAGCGCTAACATCTACTTCCAGCCGCCACCAACAGTAGGGGAAAACCCCCAAGAGGCTCCCGGGCCTGAGGCAGCTGCTGCTGGGGATTCCCAGTGACAGCGCAGCGCCGGTATGTGGGGGTCTGAGCGGCTCCCACAGAGAAATAATCTTTGAAGGCAGGATGGTAATCTGGATGAACTGACTGCACAGACCATGTTTTCAGGAGGACTTTCTCACTTCAACATAGATTCTAACTACTTTTTACCCGCTGATCACAGCTAATATAGCTGCCATTGTTCCAGGCAGAGAAAGGATCGGGTAGCTCCGCCCACCGCGCATCAGACCCACTTTATCACCGCGCAGCTAGAGCAGCAAAGATGCTTCAGCTACACGTCAGAACTGACTCAGACTCTTGAGGAGGTCCAGTGGACCATCCTTTTTCTAACACACTTAATCCCAGGTGGGGTCACGAGGGGCGCTGGTGTCTATCTCCAGCTGCCTACAGGTGAGAGGTGGGGTCCACCCTGGACAGGTCTCCAGTCCATCGCAGGGAAACACAGAGACAAACAGGACAAACACTCATTCACGCCTAAGGAGAATTTAGAGAAGCCAGTGAACCTAACAGACCAGTGGACTAATATCTTATAATTAATATATAATTCCTCTATCTAAACTATCTAAATCTATCCTAAAAGGGTCTAATCCAATGCAAATGAATAGATAGGATCTACTATAGAAATCACTGACTGTCAAAATTCACTGACACCTGTAATAGATGTAATCCGTCTCCTGCTGACGTCATGTTTTGGTCGTTACCAAGATGAAAGATTTTTGGTGTGAAATATTTGCTACCGTCCACAGGGCTGCATGCAGGGAGGATCCCTCCTCTTTTTAAGCTATTTTTGATATTCTTTAAACTAAATCCTTCTCAAGCAAAGCCCGACACTGCATGGCTTTCTGTTCTTTACTGGAAAGACGTTTAATTTAGCTCATCTGGGAAAATACTGCCCCCCCCCTTACAGTCGACTGGTCTAAGAGGTCCTGTTCAATTTGAAGCTGGAGAGGCTTAGATTTTCCTTTAAGGGTTCATTGAGTAAATTCAATATTCAGTAGGACCTGGGACCCCCTGCTCTCCATCATACACACTCTATACATCCAACCAGTTGAGTTATTTATTTTTCTCCTCTTTAGATTTAAATGTTTTTTCTTTTCACTATTATTTTTTCTTCAGGTTATTACTATTTTTGTTTTTTCATTTCTGTTCCCTTTCTCTTCCTGTCCTTTAGTCTGTAATTTTAATCTACTGTCATTTATGCTCTTTGCTTAAGCGTGAGGTTGGGGGGATGTGGGTGTGGGAGGGGCTGGTGGGTGGCTGTTTTTTCTGAATATTGTTTTTTTTAAAAAGGGACTATGTTTTGTGTTTGGGGTCCATTTCTGGGCTGTGGCTCAATAAAGACATTCATAAAATAAAATAAATAAATAAATTCTGCCTGAAGTTACATCTGTGAATTAAAACAAGTCCGGCTCCCAAACTATAAATTGGAAATACAATAAATTGTTTGACAGAAAGGCATTGAGGAATATTTTTCAGGTGGAACCAATATTTTAAATTTCACCAAGTCTGATTTATAGGTGATTAAATAAAGAAAAATGAAAAATATTTAGCCTCGCCAAATTTTCTTCAAAAATAAACACTGAGAAACACCATGAAAGCCAATTTTAGACTTTATAGATCCACATCTTGATTATGAAAGTTGGCACGCATGTTTAACCCATCAGGACCTACAAAAAAGCCTCTTGGAGCCATGGTCCAAACCCCACAGGAAGTCGGCCATTTTGAGTTATAACTCAAGCAGATTCGGACTGAATCAGTTGAAGCATGTTTGCTCCACAGAGTGGGCAGAGAGCTAGGAGGAAATGGGATTTTGGCACAAAAGTGCAAAAATATATTTTTTTCCGCCCATAAAAGGGAATCTGGTTTTATAAATATGCTGATTAACGTTATTGGAGACCTTCTGCATAAGACAAAGCCTTTGTTCCTAAGATTTAGCCGTTGGTTCATTAAATTTACCAATAATATCATCAGACTGGATAGAAAATAAGAATAACAGAGCAAGCTCATGTAATGCATGTTAATAAACTGAAATGGTCACACAATGACCTCTGACCCCTCCTCCGAAAGGTCTGAGCCTCTGGTTTCCAATGATGGCGGCCATTAGGGGGCGTGGCTAAAAATGAATGCCTGCTGTTGCATTACTCCTGCAGAGTCACACATGTCTGGTGGATTTATAAATCTAATTTTATCTGTTTACGCAGCTATAAAACAAAAAGTGTTTGTGAAAAAATAATTAAATAAATTTGAACGCCCCATTTGAAAGACGTGTGGATGAAACACCATGTGACTGTGGTTTGGCCATTTCTATAAATAGATAAACAGCAGCAGGTGTCGGCCGGGCCAGGTACCCACTGGGCTTAAGATTTACAAAAATAGTTTACAATCATTTTAGAGTAAATTAAATATTTATATGAAGTCAAATTTACAAAGATTTTGATAAATCTTTGGATAAAATTTTCAGACTTAAGTAAAAATCTTTAGATCTTCTTTGATATTTTTTAGGAAAGCACCAAATAAATTTAAAGGTAAAGATTTGTGGAGCTGTCCTTCAGCACCGCTGCGTTCGGATCACCTTGCTCCTGAAGGCCTTGCAGCCTGCCGCTCTGCACACGCAGCTGCTTGCAGCTTTGCAAACTTTGTGGTTGGAGTCGACCAGCAGGGCGGCGACAGTCTGCAGGGTGAATTCCAGTGGGAGGAGCTCTGATAGTCTCCGCCCCCTCAGCTTATTCAAAGCCCTCCTCCGTTTGGGGCTGATCAGTGCTGACAGGAGGTACTCTGGGGAAAACAAACAGCCCTGATGAATGAAAGTCTGACGACGTCAGATCCAGCAGCGCGGCGTTTAGGCGTGAAGGCTCTACCTTCTCTGGAAAGGCGGGAGATGTGCTCCCCCAGATCCTGGAAGCTCCAGCGCTTCAGATAAACGGAGAGCTGGAAGAGGGTGACTCTATCTGCGCTGCAGACGGATCGACAGCCCGGCAGCAGCCTGCAGGCCGACTGCAGCTGCTGCAGGAGTCTAGAAAACACTGCAGAGAGGAGGAGGAGAGAGGAACTCTGGGAGAGCTTGATGATGGAGGTAAGAGGAGACAGAGTTAGGTCTGACAGCTGCTGTACCTTTCTCCGACTGTCCCGGCAGCTTGGCTTTCACCTTATGAGTGTAACGCTTCTTCAGCGTCCTGGAAAAGGTCTCCCCATCGCAGCAGAACGGAGAGCTGCTGTCCTTCACACACTCCTCCCAGAACAGCAGAAGGTTCCTGGACCTCTGGGCTTTGGGGAGGCCTGCAGGTGGAAGCGAGGAGCGTCAGATGAGCCCAGCATCAGGTCTCTCTAAACCTGCGGTTTTCCACTGACTGTCTCTGGCGGTGATGTCGTCCCTCCCCTCCAGCAGCAGACAGCCGACTCTGTCCAGAACCTCCGTCTGGTTGGACATCTCCTGCAGCAGCTCCCTGCGAGTCGGACCGAAGTCGCTGGTTTTTATCGTCTGAAAGAAACAAAGAGAACTAAGGAGGCGATCCGCATCAGTCTGTTAGAGGAGACCAAAGACCCAACAGACAAAAGCGTCACATTTTTTGTTTATGATAAAAGAGAAATTTGTAATTTATATTGAACATAAGCTACTGTATTTTATTTTGGAAAGGTTATCCCCAAAGAGGTTGCATTTTTTATGCAGCGGTTTGAATTCTCATTCAATGTGTATGTTGTAATGTTTGCTTCACACCAGCAGGGGGCGAGTGCGGGTTACGTTGTTTTTTCCTCATTGCTGCAGGATATTTCAAACTGAAAAGCGTCTCCTCTTCTTTCTCAGGAGTATATCTGTCAACCAAGCTGCTGTTGCTATGGTACCCGTTACAGTTAATACAACTATTTCTTATTTTTGCACATTAAACCCACCTAATTTGAAGCAAATAACTTAGAAACTATAAGCCCAAATGACATGTGTGATACATTATTTAAAAGCTAAAACCTTCTAGTTTATGAATATATAAATGAAAATGGTGAGTAGAACACAGCCTAAGTTGCATCAGTTCAAACATGACTCAAAGTTGTTTTCTTTATTCTGGAAAATGATAGGTCTTTTTCAACAGCAGTAAAGACATGCTTGAGAAAAGGCAGGTCTCATTGTATTCCATTTGTTCTACATCATGTCAACCACAACTGCAGAACATTTCAGACCTCTAGCTGCAACAGTTCCTATGGAGCGTATTACTTTCACCACAGAGAAAAGAAATCTGACAGCTTATCTCATAATGACGTGATCGATATCTCGTCATTATGAGGTCTTTTCCCTACATATGGTCTTAAAGCCTGATAAACCAGACTAAATGTGAGATTAAATGTGTAAACAAAAAGCCTGTAGGTAAAACGGCGAATACGTCCTTCTTCAAAATGAATGAGCGTAGAGCCTCTTGCTGCTCACGTTTAAACGGAAACTCCAAGTCTAATCCTTCCAAACTGATTCCAAAGCTGAGTCAAACCAGAACTGTTCAATAGTTGCTGCCATCTTCCTTGTTGTGTTTTCTCCAGCGTCGCACAGCTTTGTCGTCACACCCTCAAAACCCCGCCCACTTTGCATCCAGAAATTCAAAACACATCTCTGCGTTGTGATTGGCCCGCCTCTTCTGGGCCGAGGCTAGACGACTGCAGACAAAAATGGTTTTGGCCGCTGGCGGGTGGGGCTAGTTAACTAGACTACTTAAAACGTACTTTTATTGAACAGCAGCAACAGAGAGGAGAACTTTTAACTCAATACTCTGAGCTCTGTGAGCGCTAACCTGGAAGCTGCTGCTGCTGCAGTGCATGCTGGGACAGCTGACAGTCTGGAGGACGGACAAGTCTGCTCTGATGCATGCTGGGTAAAGAGGGAGGGGCCAGAACAACATCCGGGGACTTTGTCCGTTCTCGGTCTGCTGTTCTGGTGAATTGGAACAGTACTAGGGCTGAGGCTGATGATGTTTCACGAGAACACGAGGACGCACAAGAACACATAGTGAGAAACAGCCTCAGAGTTTCCCTGATTTATAGGTTTAGAAAATGTTGAGTTTGCCATTCTAGTTCTGGTTAAAAGACCTCCTCCCTGACGCGCCCCTCCCATCAGCCCCTCTTCTAGCTGCGCCTTCTACTCGCTCTAGAAGCTACGGCTCTATAAACAATAAATTCTTCAGGTGTTTCTGCTCTATTTTTTATTCTTAGGAAGAGTGGTTCTGGATTTATCTGACAAACAGTTTGGTACCTGCAGCAGGATGCAGCAGATGTCTAGGTGGGTCTCCAGAGCCTGGTCAAGACCCCAGTTCCCAGAAGTCAAAGGGGCAGCGACCAGCTCTTCCTCTGATTGGCTGTTGGACAGGAGGCCCAAACTCTTCAGGGTGTTCTGCTGGAAGGAACTGATGCTGAGGAGAGAAGAAGAAGCGCTGCTCCAGAACGCGTCACTGATGTCCAGATGTCCCCTGAGTGGCGGCGAAACTCACCCACTGTCTTTCAGCCTCATGCTGCCCAAACAGGAAGTGTCATCATCTCCGTTGAGGTCGAGGGACAGGAAGTCAAAGCTGCCCAGGACTTCCTCCACAGCCAGCGTTTCCTCTGATGGCGAGTTCCTGAGAAGGGACAGGTCGTTCTGCGGGAGAAGAGTAGAACATCAGGGCGCCGTTGCTTCAGCGCCTTCAGTGTCTGACCTCAGACGTACCTTCAGGATGGTTCCCAGATGCTGAACCTGGTGCTCCAAAGCCCGGAGCTCCTTCTCACAGCTGCTTTCTGTGTGAAAGGACTTCTCCAGCTCTGCCATCAGGGCTCCCAGTCGGACGGCCTGGGCCCGGCGCTGGGCGCCGCTCATGTCGGTTCTCCCTGAGGCTGGAGGCTGAATGGGCGGTCTGGGTGGGGGGGCGTCATGGTCAAGAGATTCCTGCAGAGGGTGAACATGAGGCCCGGTGAGTGAAGAACCAAGAACAGAGCTGGAAGAGGAACCCGCTGAGATCTACCTGTTCACATCTCTCCTGCAGAGCGGCGCCATGTGTCTCAGGGTCCGGTTCTCCTGGCCGGTTCTTCCTGAGGATGTCTGGCGTGCTGGACCTGCACAAACATCACCAGTATCAAACTGGAACCGTCAGCACCAGTGCTGGTCTACTCCTGGTTCTGGTCCCGTGGATCCAGGACCAAACTTTCTGCCTGGTCCATCTTCCTGGTTTTGTTCCTAAGTTTGGATTTTAGGCGTAAAACGGAAACACAGGGTCCCCTGAAGTCATCACCGTGTTTCCAGATGTGATGTTTAAGGGGGCGCCACCTGTCCTGGTTTCCTGGACCTACTCTGATCTACAGATGGTTGAAGATCCACCTCTCGATCTCCTGCTCCATCTTCCTCTCATTGCTGACCAAGAACCCAAAGACACTTAAACTCCTCCACTGGGGGGAGACATCCTCCCCAACCCAGAGAAGGCACTCTACCCTCTTCCAGCTGAAGACCATGTCTCAATTTGGAGTCACTGATCCTTAACATTTTTTACACTGTATTATAATTAATACATTAGTGTCATTAAAAGTCGTAATTAAGTCATATAAATGTCAAATCATTCTGGCTGAAACATGTCTAAAAATGTTCTCTTTATCAGACGATAAAGTTAAATCCTAGGGCCAACCGATGGCCTGGTAGGGGTGGCCAGTGATTGGCTGAGGGTGTCCATGGCCGGTGCTCTAGATCCGTCACTGTGTGCGTTTCAAATAAAACAGCTCGTCTTCATTTTTGGCAGAACCTATAAAACGCTACTTCGCCTTTCTGGTTCTATAAAGGTTGTAAACCTCATCTAGCGAGGTGAAAGCAGCCTGTTTCATCCTGAGAACAATGTTCTGGATGGACGGATGGAATCCATCCATCCCGTGTAAATCTGGGGAACATAATCTCTAAATTACTTTAAGGGTGGTTCTCACCGCGGTAAGACCAGAAGGGAAGCTGCTTTACTGGCTTCCCCCGGTGACGTCTCCAGCACGCCGCCCCACTCCTTCTGGTCAACCTTCTCATCCGTCCTCTGCCTCTCCTCCCGCTCTTCTTCTTCCTCTTCCTCTCCAAAGGGAAGCTGAGTCTGACTTCCTCCCAGGCTGGAGGAGGGGTAGCTGTGAGCTCGGATCAGACTGGAATCAGATTTTAGACCAGAGTCTTAAATCAACCACAGATAGAAACTGAAGTTTTCTTTTATTTCCTACAAACGTAAACCTTCTAATCTGTCTTTAAGCAGCTGTTAGAAAAGGTCCATTAGAGGAGATACACCAGAGAAACGACTCGGCCCGACATGAGGAGATCCTGATGCAGCCAGAGGGTCTTCATCCAAGACCTAAACTCTGATGCCTACCTGGAGATGTAGGGACTCTGAGGGCCTGATGTCATGGAGGTGTGTTCAGGGTGGGGCAGGTAGCTGAGCAGGGACACGCCTCCTCTGGTGGGACGACCTTTGGACACCAGAGAGGGGAGGGAACCCTCCTGATCCTGCAGCCCGCGAACCATCGACTGAGGAACATGAGAAGACATCAGGTCACGTGAAGTTCAGGGTTACAGATGAAAACACAACAGATTTAAACAGTTTAATCAACCGATTAAACAATAAAGACCAGAAGAAAAAAGGACGACATAAAACCTAAGATGACGTCAGTGAAACCGGGCTGATAGAAAACCAAAACATCTACATCCTCTTTTATTGCTTTAGGTGGAGCTGCCAGTGATTCTGCTCTCAGGCTGCCATCACTGAACCAGAAGCTCATCAGTTCACCATCCTCAGACCAGCTGAGCTGCATCTCCCAGCCTGATCCATCAGAGCTGGTCCAGCTGTGGACCATCCAGCAGGTGGGGGTGTAGGTCTGTGACTAAAAGAGCTGCCATTTTCTCTGGGAAGGACCTCCTTCATCATACTCTATTGCTCAGTGCAGCTGAACCTGCTTGGTGTTTCTGTGGGAGTGGGGAGTACCAATATGGCGGACGATGGCTTCACTTCTTTCAGGCAATCATCAACCCAGTGAATAGATAGAGATGGGTGGGCCCTCCACCACAGCTCCCAGCTCCTTTTTGAATCGTCTGCTTATTCTCAGTAGAAGGAGCAGCTGGTTGATTGTTCTGGAGCTCCATCTGTTCTCATGTCTGCAGTTACAGACCATCCCAACTATTACCTGGTTTATTCAGGTACAGAGGATAGAGTCAGTTCTCCAGAGAAACGCCTCAGATACCAAAAAAAAGACGGTATTAGTGTGAGAGAAACAATAGAAGTATTAAATAAGTTTAGGAGATTCAAACTGGAGGAAAGCAGGAGCACATCAGGACAAACAGACACTTCTATGACACTCTATGATCACTCCGCTTTACCCGGTGCCATCCATTACTGTCCACACTCTACTGTCCTCAACAAAGACAATTCAGGGTAGAAAAAAAAGAAAATGGATGGATGGTTGGATGGATGATGGATGATTGATGGATGGATGATGGATGGATGGATGATTGATGGATGGATGATGGATGGATGATGGATGGATGGATGGATGATGGATGGATGATGGATGGATGGATGATGGATGGATGGATGATGGATGGATGATGGATGGATGGATGGATGGATGATGGATGGATG